AGGTTTGGTTTTTGGTTTTTGTTAAGCATAAATGTTTTTGTTTAAGTTTTTGTAAAAGTGTTTAAATATTTAAGTGTTAAGACTGATTGGCAAAAGTATTAAGTGTTAATGTTGATAATGTTGAGTTATTATTTTACACTATTATTATTATTATTTATGATGATCAACATTAAAAATTTTTTTTTGAGCCATTGTTATTAATTTACCATGTGATTCCCCCTACCCTTAAATAATTGAATTTGAACCACCTAATGTGGACATTTTCCAAAAGGCTTATCCTATCTTACCTGGACCATGGTGGAATAGGTTAACCCTAGGCTGGACAAATTCCAACGGAAAATTCACTAAAATCATCTAGAACATTCACTACATTCACTGTGATTATCCATGATTATCACCAGGTAAATATCCACCCGTCCAGGTAAAATAGGATAATCCTATTTTGTACAACTTTCCCTTTCTATCCCTGTCTGAATGTGCTGATTCGAACGGTCACAAATATAAAAAGATCACCAATCGATTTTGTCACATGTGACAAATTCAAATGTTTGCCATGCTCACTATTCCTAATTAATTCATGATCCTTTTAAGAAGGAAAGAATTTTAATAATGATCGTTAACATTTTATAATAAAAATTCAAAGAATACACTTCGTTTTTGCTGTTATAACATCTTATTGCACTTATATTTTAATAAAAAAACAGCTAAAAATAGCAAACAGACATCTATAAATTCTTTTTGTTAGACTATTAAGGCCTCTTTCTTATAACTATTCACACATTATTTTAGAAATGTGCTGAGATATGGGTATTATTATTAACAAATGTTGTTACAGTCGGAACTCAATAAGACGTGACTCGATAAAATGAATTTTTGTTATAACGAAGTTTTTCTAGTTTCCCTATTCATTTATTAATAAAATCAACTCGATAAGACGAATATTCCTATTGTTTCACTTAAATGTTTAAGATGGGGTTTGCATATGGTTCCACATATATTAAATATAACTCGATAAGACAAATAATACAGTTTATCGAAAGAAACTTCGCTTTATTTTGTATAATTTTATAAATGATTTACAGTAGTATTGTAGAAACTGTTCAAAGTGAGTTTGAAGAAGAGTCATTGCAACTGGAACATCTAATTGACAAATTACCATTTGATGATCCTATTATGGCAATTGATTATGTTATGATTGACAATGAAATGGTACCCGAAGAAACAGTAATGGAAGATGAAGAAATCATAGCTGCAGTTACATTGACATCTGACAATGGTAATCAAGAAGAAGAAGAAATAGAAACTCCTGTAGTTACTTTAACTGAAGCATTAAAAAGTGCTGAAGTACTTCTTAATTTCATAACTTACCCACCAGAAAAATTTGAAACTTCAACAAAGCAAATTTCTACTATTCATTCTGTTAGAAGTAGCATTTTATTTTATAAAAGTTCATTAGCATGTCAATGTAGCATAAACGAATATGTAAATTTTGATGTATAACTCTTTAAACTGAATTTTTTTTTAAAAATATATTAACTTCGTTTTATCGAAGACTACTCAATAAAATGAATATTCGATAAAATGATGTTTTGAGCCCAAAACAAGCACACCAGTTTAACGAGTTCCGACTGTACATTCCTAATTGAGTGAAATAAAAAAAATATATAATAAAAATAAATTACAAAATCACATGATAATGATTCTCATATGACTTCTATATGGGGGGTTTTCTAGCAAAAGGTACCTTAAGTGCCCTCTGACCAAAATTGAGATTTTTGCATAATATATATTTATATCATAAGGATTATAACTGGTGAA